TGTCCTGTTGTACTGATCCTCAGAGTAATAGCAGCAATTATCGATGACGTCAAAGTAAAAGTTGTTATCCGGGTCAACATCATCCTCCATGTCCTGATGTTTGTACTCCGTGTAATTAAATGTTTTCAGTCCTATTTTATCACAGTTCACAGTCACATTAGATGACGTTCTGTAAGTAGCTGAAGATGAATTATTACTCGTCCTGAGTGTCATTCTGATGGTGAAGAGTTTGTGTTGATTCTGTTTTACCTTCAGTCCCTTTAGTGCTCATTTAAATCTCTCCAGCTCCTCGATGTTTCCAAAGACCAGTACCTTCGCCTCCTCTGGTGTTCCGTTAAGTTTGATAAAGACCTTACAGCTGGAAGTCCACGTTCTCTGGATCTTCCTTTGCTTCATCAGAAACTGGGCTTTCCTGGTGATGTCCGCATTCCGTTTGGTCAGATGTTCGTTGATATAGACGTCCAATCCTCTCAGCTTCTTCCCTTGTTTGAGCAGCTCCGTTTTGTGTTTTCTATTGACAGACCTCATAATTATGGCTGGTTTGTCGTTGTTGCTCCTCCTGGGCAGCTGGTGACAGGCTTCAATGGTGTTCTGGTCAACTTCTATTCCCTTGGACAGGAGATAAGAAGCCACCTGTTTCTCAACAGAATCCGACAGTTTATCATCTGTGGTCCCGTCTACCTCCGCTGTAACTGCCCGTGCATATGAGCGAGGTCGGTGATGATCACTTTGTGTCTGAAAGCATTACAGAAAAATTTCTTTCATCATCAGGAGTGGTACCTAAATGTGATTTCAGTCCCAAACACACCAAATCCTCCCTGACAGCAGATACTGAGGAGGGTCCTGTATGACCCCCTTTGACTGAGTGGCTCCTGATGGATGGTTTAACTGTTCCATCTCCAGCATGTTTGTGTGATAGTTGTGTTTCCCCAGTTAAAGCTGTCTTTCCCCATCATGTTTGTATTTTGGTGCTGTGAAAAAGTTGTTTTTGGTTGAGCCACTATTTTATCTTATGTTCCCAATAATGTAACTCTCAGTCTCATTTCTACTGTGGGAAAAGTTAAACATGAATACATTCTTTACAAAATGATCACATTTTCTGTTTAAACTGAAATTTTGACTGAAGAAGTCATTATTGATTAGACTGGTCCAGTTTACTTCAGTGTGGTTTATTTTATGTGGAGGTGATGTTCTTTACAGAAATGTCACTAAGAAATTTGTCAAATTTGTCAAAATGCCATTAAAGAATTTTTTTTTAAACAGATTTTGCTTCACAAAAGTCCACCGATACTGTTTGAAACTGTAATTTCAAACATTCTTTATATCTCACTTTTCAGATCCAGTTTGCATCTCAAATGACTTCCTGTTGGAAAATGAAAAGCTCCAGCTATCAGGGAGATTTATATCAGTGAAATGTTGAACTCTAAACTTGAGCAAAGAAAATAATAATAAGTCAGAAACACACAGAGCTATGAGAGGTGACGTGAACCAAGTGTATCAGAGTGTGTCTCCCTCTAGTGGATGTTGTGGAATTTTCTGTTGTATTTGCTCCAAAGGTTCTTGTACAGAGTTTTGCTGTTTCCTGTCACTGTGGGCCTCAGAGCACAGTAGTACACAGCAGAGTCAGACAGCTGAAGCTTCTGGATCTTCAGAGGAACTGACTTATCCTGGATTCCAGTATGAAACCTGTCTTCCTGGAACTCTGGAGCTTTTTCCACAGACTTTGAGTAACTTTTCATCATATACTGTGGAGAACCATTTACTTCTTGCTTGTACCAGAAGAGAGCTGGACTTGGATCACTGGTGTCAAAAGTACAGTCCAATGTAACTGTGTCTCCTTCAGCAGCAATGACATCTCCTGGTGGCTGAATCACTTTGTCTTCTCCTTTACACTCTGGAGAAGAACACAACATGCAGAGAAAGACATCAATCAATAAAGATGATTGATTAAAGGAGAACAATCAGCAGCTATAAAGAGTTTTATTCCATGTAGAACAGATGGAACTTTGTGATCTACTAGTTTTTCTCAGTCAAACTCTGTTCATGTTAAATATGTCACCTACCTCTTATTGTGAGCAGACACAAAGTGACAAACAGACTCAAGTTCACTGACAGCATCTNCAGAGCACAGTAGTACACAGCAGAGTCAGACAGCTGAAGCTTCTGGATCTTCAGAGGAACTGATGTCTTGTTGGCTTGAGCATCAAATCTGCCTTTATGGAACTCTGGAGCATTATCATCTCCATAACCACCACGTCTTAAAATGTACTTTGGAAACTCATTTACTTCCTCTTTGTACCAGAAGAGAGCTGGACTTGGGTCACTGGTCTCAAAAGTACATCCCAGTATAACTGTGTCTCCTTCAACAGCAATGACATCTCCTGGTGGCTGAATCACTTTATCTTCTCCTTTACACTCTGGAGAAGAACACAACATGCAGAGGAAGACATGAATCAATAAAACTGATTGATTAAAAAAGCTCTATCAACAGCTGTAAAGAGTTTTATTCCATGTAGAATTGATGGAACTTTGTGATCTACTCGTTTTTCTCAGTCAAACTCTGTTCATGTTAAATATGTCACCTACCTCTTATTGTGAGCAGAAACAAATTGACAAACAGACTCAAGTTCACTGACAGCATCTTGAAGATGAAGACAATCTGTCTGTTTTCTGGATCAAACTCCACTGTGAAAGTTTGTGTGTTTTCTGTACTTGAGTCCCAGTTTAGCTCCTCCCTTCATCCTTTCCTCCTTCCTCTCACAGCTCTGACTAACAGTTGTCAAGTGGAGTCAAGATTTGAGATCCCTGAAGCAGCCACTAACAAAGAACACTGGCTCTGAGTGAGCAATATAAAAGACTCTATGATCAGACATGCTGTGCTGTAACCATGATGATTGAGTGAGTGAATTTGAAATAATGATTCTTAAAATATATTGTGTGATTCAAACTGTGTAACAAAGCTAAGATGATTTTTTGTAATCTTGATTTAAAAGTAAATGAGTGAAGGGGTGAAAATGTCAAGAGATCAAGAAAGGTTTGTGTCTCTAAAACAGCTCATGTCGAGACATGTCATATGAGGCCACTGTCTGCAGGAAGGTTGCAGAATGAACCCATTGCTATCCTGTGATTGCCAGACTGTGCTCTGTGCTATTACCAAGTACATGAATCAGATCCTAAAGGTGTCACATATATGGGCTAAAGAGGAAGTGCCTCACACAATGTGTATGTGCTAAGAGTAAAAATTGTGTGTAACAGTAAACGTGTGTGGGGGACAGTTGAATACAGTATAAAAAGGCCTGACAAAGAGACTTCAGACGGAGTTCGTGGAGATTGCTCCTGGAGACTGCTCGCGATTGAGATCACAGAGTTCTTCACGGGACATCGCTGGAGCTGAACGCTCCTCCACTGATTAAAGAAGTCCTGATGGGTCTGCAAATTCTACTCAAGAGGAGCAGCAGAACAGCAGAACTCCTTTCTGTGTTCTGCTTGAAGAAGTATTCTCTTCCTTCCCCAAATGGATGCCAAAGAACTGCTGATCTGATCAGAGTCGGGACTTCTCATCTCCCCCTGAGACAGGAGGGTTTTGTCTGGGGATCAGGACTCTGTACTGGGTTGCTGCATCACTGGAAGAGGACTCCTCCAGGCTCAGGTCTGAGCAGGGCTGAGTTAATCAGCTATGGCCGGGCTGTTCGACTCTCCCTCTCCCTAAATTACCTATTAGGTTACTATTTTAGAAAAGCTCAGTTCTATAATTTAATCTCAAATGAACTGTTTTAGTCATATTTTTGGAATATTTTGAGTGAATAATCAAGAGCTGTTGCTGTGCCCCTGCTAAAGTTTTGTAATAAATATCTGATCATGCATTTAAAGTTTATTTGGTTTGAAATTTCATTAAGTCGTTTACAGTAGCTGATGGTCGTAAAAAGTTAGTCAATTGTGTGCATAAGATCTATATCGTGGTTCTTAATGGTTATTCTAAGTCATGAGTAAACTAGTATTTCTAAACAGATCCCTGGGGTTAGTTTTGCCAAACCTGTAAATCTAACCTAGCAACTTACCAAGTGCTCAATCCATTAAGAGGAACGCTGCCACAAACAGGCGTTTCTGGTCGGTGATTTAACTACTGAGGCTACTTAGTTGAGTCAACTATTAGAGGAAGCGGGGTAGACGTCTGGATTAAGGCAGTTAGAAGCTAGGCGAGTTTCCTCGACACCAGCTGAAGCAGTTCTATACAATCCTATTAGGTCAAGGGCCTGTAGGGAGGTAGAACCTAACTCTAGAAATGGAGAGCTGGACCAGTAGCCCTGTACAGGGTTATATCAGTGCAGATCAATACAGTGTGTTTGTCTCTGCTACTTCATTGACTAACTGAAGATCATTGGAGGAGAGTAACATGTACATGTGTGTCATCTGTATACAAGTGTTTCCTGACAACATCACCAAGCAGAAGCATGTATAAGTTAAATAGGTTCCAGGATACAGGTTTACAGGCCTCTGGAGTCAATATTTGTCTATCTAGAATTGAAAGAACCAGTCGAAACAGAAAAGAAAATTAAAACCACTCAGAGACTTACCATGAAACTGAGCCATATGATCAAATGTCTGCAGCAGAGGCCAAATGTTTAATCATGGGCCCTTCAAAATGGGAAAGAAATAAAGTGAGACTGGTATTGAGGCCCCAGAAATTGACGTAGGTGTATTTATATGACTGTATCCATATTTTCTATAAGAAAATACAGTCTTTTGTTGCTATTGCATGAAGTTTGGAGGTCTTCAAGATCAGTAAAATTTGATTTGGAGCAAGTTTTATAATGCAGCGGTCAAGTAATTTGCTGTCAAGACATGTCACAATGGTGATGTGGACTCATTTGTAGGACCACATGAACTGGTGTGCAAAGGGGTCTTTATTTTTTTGTTAAGTATTTGATGTTACAAGTTGCTTCCATGCTGACTTCAGGTTGAAATTTAACAACATATGAAGTCTTTTCATCAATGGATTCACCTTTATTTATTTGTAGACATAACATTTTAATGGGCAAATATGATGTCTCAGATGTACTTAATGTCAAGTTTGTATTGTCTTTCCTTGAGCATCGCAGTTGGATCTTAGATGGTGACAGAATATGTACTATTGGAAACAACAGATATCAACAGATGAGGCCACTTGAATGATTCATCTGATGTTAAATGGTTGCTGGATTCACCACTGATGAAGATGAAGAGGAGCAGGATGATGGAAATATGGCAACAAGTCAGTCAATAAAAGCACATTTTGTTGTACCATAAGTTGATTAAAAAAATTATCATCACAAACACAATTTTTTATGTTTAACTCATAAATAAAGTCTGAATGTTTCGATGTAGATGAACTTGTTCCCCTCCAATACTCTGCAGCTTCTCTTCTGGAGGCATCACTGATCAGCTGCTCCTGTGAATCCTTCCACAGTGTTTCATCAGCAGCTGTAACCACAGTGACTGTGATAAAACAGGAATTAGCACAATCCATCTGATATGAAGCCAAGCTTTGAATACCACTTCCCTCCTCTTTGAAGAGGAGTCACATATCTGTGTTCAGGTTTTTGTACAGCCTCTGCTACACTTTGTATCACTGTGTGTCTACAGCACAGTAGTAGAGAGCTGTGTCTGCCAGGGTTAGCTCTCTGATGGTCAATGTAGTTGATGTAGCTGATGTTTGGGATCCATATTTACGTTTATCAGGAATATGTTCAGCTGAGCCCCCTTTTCCTTGTTTCCAGAGTATAAACTGAGGAGCCTGAAGGTCAGAATGATGTTTGTACCAGTAAAGCAAAGCAACTGCATCATCTGTCTCATAGTTACATGAGAGTGTGACAGATTGTCCTTCTGTTCCACTGACTTCATCTTGTTGAGGAGAGATTGTGGTTTCAGCTATTAGTCCTGGAAAAGTAGAGAAAATGAAGCCATCAGACTCACATTGTCCATGAGGCTGACAGAGGACAGAGGAAAGTTTCACCTGTACCGTGTTACTCTGTGGACATTCACAATGAAATCAACTCTGTTTCTCTGTCAGTTAAATTTACAAGATGATTAAAACCTAGTTTTCATTTTCTCACAGTAACGAAGAAGAAAAGTAGGGAAATAACATCTGTATATGTGGTTCATGCAGCAGGTCAAGACTTTGATCTTTGGTCTGAAACTCACCTATTATTGGAGATGACAACAAAAAGAGGTAAAGCAACATTTCTTTGGAGTTATTAAAGTCAGACACACAGCAGATGAACAATGTTCTTCCACTGCAGTACAATGAGGAAGAAATAATGTCAGTGGATGAGCTAAAGATCAGTGGGCGGGGCCATTACCTCTTGACATCATTTATTCAGTTCAGTTCAGCCTATCAAAGCATTTTGTGTTTCCACAGCAGCTCTGTCTCTGATCTTTACTGCTTCATGTCTCTGTTGTCATCAGTTCATCGACTCACAAATCAGATCTTTTACAGAGTGTGTCTCCCTCGAGTGTCATCAGTTCATGACTGTGTTTTGTAAATGATTTTCTGGGTTCTACTTGTTTTCCATATAAGGAGAACCATCAGCAGCTGTAAAGAGTTTTATTCCACGTAGAACAGATGGAATTTTGTGATCTACTCGTTTTTCTCAGTGAAACGTTAAATATGTCACCTACCTCTTATTGTGAGCAGAAACAAAGTGACAAACAGACTCAAGTTCCCTGACAGCTGGCAGCAGCACTGAGGTGAACAGAGACAGCATCTTATCTGCAGTGTTGAGTAACTGTGAGCTACAGCAAGTATGAAGAACACTGTGATCTCTCTGTATGGTCTCCATCAACACTAAGCTGATGGATGAGGAGGAGGAGCCTGATCACAGTCACAAGGCTCATTCACAGTCTATTCACAGCTTTGTGTTCAGTCTTCCTGCATCATTGCTTCAAGGTGAATGTCTTTAGTTCACCTTATATGTGGTGGAAGTGGAGACTGTGAGGAATGGGACAGTGAATGTAATGCAATGGTGATCTGAGATATTCAGGTCCTGTACAACCAAGTGAGTTATTGTC